ACATTGTTCGAAAACAATAAATATATCGATATCATCTGCGAAAAAAATCCGTTCCACTGTGAGGTCGCTTAACAACCATACAATAAGGGTTTGACGATTTGATCCAACTTCAACGAATAAATCGAAACATGCAATATCATCAACATTAAAGAAGCATATACTAATTAGCAGTCTTAAATAAATAAATTATAGTAAATAAGCAGAAGTATTGGCTAATGCCATCTATAAAACTAGTCAATAGTACTTACACCCTTAAGTCGCTCCTTGCAGTCTCCACATCTCGGGAAGGTACCTCGTTTCTTCGGGTATAAATATACGAGTTTATTGCCTGGGGTCTTCGATACAATCCTTCGATTAGATGGAGTGTTGTACGACAATCTCCTACGGTACGTCAATCTCTGAGGCATCTTGGATCAACCTGCAAAAAAAGATGCACATACATATCGAAACTGATATAAGTATAACATCAACGCGCTTCTACGTAACCAACCTTCAACTGATTAAACTGACTTCAGATCCTAACAGATCACAATTATAAGCAAAACCTCATTCTCCATACGCTTATATCTGTAACTTCGTTTTTATTTCAGTATATCTATTACATCATAAGAATTTTAGTGCTCATGTTCAATACAAACAACCATAGAGAGTGCTTCAATTATTGGGGCATTGCCTCATTCAGCCTTACAGAAAAAGTTTATAAAACGTGTTAAACAAGAGATAACGCACAATAACAGACTCAAGAATAAGATACAAGACAGGCGGGTTACGTCGAAGGATCTCTGATTGTTGAGAAATCGTGAGAATTTGCCCTTTCGTGTACATGTGCTTTGTTGACCTGGAAAAAGCCTTTGACCGGATCCCACGCAACAGTCTACGGACATGCCTTCATGCATACGGGATTGATGGCCAGCTCCTAAGGGCCATCCAATCACTGTATTCTGATAGCAGGTGCTGCGTTAGAGTTAATGGCGTTAGGTCGAAACCATTCAACGCTCGCACCGGTCTCCACCAAGGCTGCGTCCTGTCCCCTATCCTGTTTGTGTTACATATGGATAGAATAGCTTGGAGTAGCCAAAGCGATGAGTATATCGGTGTAGATGTGGTGACGAGAAGGTTGCTCTTTGCAAACGACCTTGTTTTATTGGCGTCTTCTGAAACTGATCTTCAGTGCTCCTTAGAAAGGTTCGCAGCCGAGTGCGATGTGACCGGCATGCGTGTGAACGGATCTAAAACGTGAAACCTAGCGCTTTCTGGTTCACCTGCCCGTCGCTCTCTTCAGATTAAGGAGAGGCAGTGGAGCAGGTGGAGAAGTACCTCTGAGTCATATTTACTAGTGGTGGAAAATCTGAGGACTGGCGTAGCCAGCGGCGTTCTGCGTGAACTAGCCCGACCCAATGTGACTAAAGCACAGCTCAGTCTGAAAGCTAAGCTCTCAGTGTTTAAGTCGATCTTTATCCCC